AATGTACTTTTCCAATGCCATTCCAACTATATTTGTCCCCAAATTGCCCTAAATAATATTAACCAAATATAATCATTTGCGTTCACATTTCGGAACAGTTAGCTAATCTTAATATCTTCCAACCCACTTGGGAAAACCCTTTTTTTTCAAACAGACATCTTCAATGACCAAGCGTGGTAACTATCTTGGATCAATCCGCTCAAAGGATGTTCACCACTACGTAGCAAGCTGTGACTCACTGATGTTGCAGACTAATACGCTATCTGCAGGTAGCTAAACAACCTTTAAAGCATGATTTATTTCTTTCAACAAATTAAAATGAGAAATGAGCAAAATTTTGCCCTATCGCGTAGACGATTTACCCTCATGATGGCTTCTTGACTAATTAACTTGAGCAAATGTGCTGGAAACTCCAATTTGGAGTATAATTAGTAATTCTTCTCTAGCTCGACACAGTACTAGAAACTAAGGTGCATTTAAAACTCATTTGTTTCTCGATAAAGTGCACTTGCAGGCAGCTCTCGAAATATATTATGGTTTAATGCATCAGCGAATTACTCATGTTGAGTTCGAAACGGTAGATATGACCTCAACTTCGGCCTAACTGACACTTTGAAATAATGGCTCTTCGCGTAGATTCAGAATGATTTTCGAATAAGTACTAGTAATTGCTCTTTCTATCCCTTCCTCCCCCTCCCCTAAACCTCCTTTAATTGTACTTCATAAAACGCACTCGAAAGTACAAAAATAGATTTGGAATAAGAACATAACTTAAATATCACAGTTTGCCTATGAAGTTACCTAACAAATTTATTTGTCCCCATTTCTATTACGACGGAAAACAACACATAAAGTGGAAAGAATGCTGAACAAAAATAAGTTGAAATCAAAGGTTTGAATGTGGAATGTTCAGATGATATTGTGCTTAATAGCCTTTAAATTTCCGTCTTCTTCCCCTAAATGCACTTTTGGTGTTTAGAATTGCGTTGGAAAAATTTTTTTATACCTGCACATACTAGTATCATTTGCCAAACCTTTGTTTCGAAATCAACTCTATGTGGATCGGTGAATTCCATCCTGTTAATTTACAGTTGAAAATATGGCCTTTTCGATGAACAATGGGGTTAACTAATATTCGTCATCAAAAAGGCTGGAAATAGTGAAATATTGCAATGCCAAGATGGTTGGGATTTGTGCTTTGTAATTTGTTGTGTACTCGATCTACTTCCAGGTACAACTGACAATGTGAAAGTGCATTATATTGTGCTAGGCCAAGTTGCAAAGGACTCAGTTAAAAGTGCCTAGGTACTTTGGGCTATTAGATAAGACGAATTAATCTGGGGTGGTGATGTGATCATCCACTAAATTTAAATATCTTTTCAATATGCTTCACTTAGTCCCAAGCCCATCTGGCAAATGTTGGCTAAAACATTTGGTAATGAGGAGTTTAATTAATCACAAATCAAACAAACCAAATGAATTCAAGCTTCAAATGAAGTTGTAACTTGTAATTTCAACAGCTCATTTTAACGTTTTAAAACTTTCGTTTGTGCTATTAATCGGGAGGCAGTGGACATTGTTTAACCTCTATTTGGGGCTTGTGTACTGGGGCTTCTATGTACCTTTCATTAATAAATTGCCATTGAGTTGAGTGTAAACATAAATCGGCTTTAATTTGGCAACTTCCTTCACGTGTTCGTTTGTGAGGCTTCCACGTGTAAACTAGGTTGAATGAGTTCATACTCCAAAAGTGCATGTTTTGAGGTCAATGCAAGCTCATTTTTTGCTCAAAAAGACACAAATACAATTTTTTCCACTTTGTGCCATATTATTTTAAATGAAAATTACTCAAGAAATGAACAAAAAGGGTGATTAAGAGACTTTGCATACCAATATTCACGTGCATTTTATTTACTTCAAACTAATATTTACTCATATCAGCATTTACACATAGAAATAGAATTAGATTTTTAAATGCAGTTTTTTTTATACTTAAACGCATTAGATTTTGTCCAACGCTTTTCTCATGATTAGTACCTCCCACACTCATGCCACTTATTTGCTATTTGCATCTATTTACTACTTTATTTTCGTATTAAAAAAAACTGGAGAGCTATCATTTCTGCGCATTTTGACAGCATCTATTGACAATTAGCACATACGAATTCTTTTATGGGGAAAAAAGCTTAAGCATGTGCACTTTCAATGAAATTGCTTAGTGCTATGTCCCGAAGGTAGGTATGCGCACTAAAATTGAACTATTTCGTTTAATTTAGCCACTAATCTATTTCCCCTCCCAGTTTCCCAGCTTTAGACAGCGCTAATAGGGAGCTGTTCAGGTGTTGGAGCCACCTCAAGCGCTTAACTTATGATGGAGTTATAGTTATACTATTCCCATTATTTCATTCTTGCATCCTCCACTTAGGATTTCAATCCTATCTCCTTGAAATATTATCCAAATTCAAAATTTTTAAACTGAGTTGAAAATTCAATGGCTGTGTAAGTGCTAAACCCTCAGTGCAGTTGTGTGTGTGTGCGCGTCATTCAAACTATTAAAACCTACTACAAGAAGAGATCAATAGTGCGTTTAGTTATACTTAGTCACAGTGGAAAATGTCAAATTTGTAGAGTTGTCAAAGGCGAAGAAATTAAGATTACCATTATTTGATCTATTAAAACGCCGCGAAATTATAGGGAAGTATAGAATAGAGACGTAGCTTCTAATTAAAAGGTGACAATTTTAAGCAATGCAAGCAAACCGGCAATAGGATTGTAGAAATGAAAATGATTAGCCTCTTAGCCCAACGTCAAGCAGTTTAGTCGTGATCTCTTCCTAATTGTGCCATTATTGAATTATCCATTTTTCTCATAATAAAAAATGTAAGCTTTCAGCTTCAATCCTACGTTCGTAAATCTTCAGTACTTGTTGCTTATTTTTTTATTAGGCAACATAAATCCTGGCTGTTTGTGCATGTGTTTGACGAGAGAAGTGCCTAGAAAACTCTATTTCCTTAACCGGTACTTTTACAATTTGTCAAGGCACTAATTTGAAGTGCTGTCACCAAACTTACTCAATATATGGGGTGATGACCTTGAGATAGACGGAAAAATATTGGAGTTGGTGCTGCATGACCACGAAGCTTTGACCTCATTGCCAAAATGGAAAACATTAATTTTGATTTCTAATTCTGACGAGTGATTCTTTGCCCTGCATTTTATGAATACAGAGAAAATAAAAAATTGAAAATTTGAATCCATTTGGAATAAATTATAAAAAACTACTAATTTGGCAAGATCTTTAAATACCAATACCGATTAACCTTAGATGTCATCAAATGCCCTGAGAGGTGATGAAAGAACGTGTAAGGACCAGAAATTGCCAGACAGTATTCCAATTTTGCAGTCAGTCTGCCGCCAATTGTTTATCAAGTCGACAGAAGAGAGTCTCTCCATAGGCGAATTTTTGCAAAGGCATCAGGGAACTAGGAAAATATTTAATTTATTTTAACCTATTCTTATTTAGGTATTCGTGAATATAGGGCCATTTATTTCACGTGGGTGGTCTAGAATCGATTAGGCATATTCAATCTAATGGCTGGCAAGTGTAAATAGTTTGGAATGGTGAACAATTGCAAGGGTAAATTGGTATCATTTAAAAGTATTAACGAACAATAAGAAGCTTGGGTGAATTGGTAAAGTGAACATTCCCAGTTTTCAAAGGCAACTTGAGTATAAAAAGATAACCTGTGAAGCCATTTAGAAAGCATTTTCCGACACTTAACCAACTCAGTTTTCAATTCTCTTGCTTGTTGAAAGTTGTTTTGTGGGATTCGAGGAATAGTTGATACTTCAAGCCTATTTCTGAAGTTAAACGCAATAGTAGTTAATTAGTCTAACGATTTAAGGAAATTAATGATAATTCATTGACAGGCGAATTTGTTGGCGTGATTTCGTATAGTGAGCTGATCAAAAAGACACAAGGAATTAACAAAATTCCAAGCTGTGGCACATGCTGCAAAGTTAAAATTTAAAGCAAGTGATTACCGAACCAGCTCATTCCGGGCCATTCGAATTGCATTTCATTATTAAGACGGTGGTCAGAACTCGATAATTGAGTTGCACTTCCAAGCTTGGGAAGCAATTAAAGCACGAGCCACAAAATGCGTTAGTATTTCAACGGTGAACAACATGGAAATACCAAAACCATTTCCCTGGGTCATCAGAATGTTGATAAACAAACATCTCACGTAACCGTCCAAACTCGCCTAACTGCGCAGCAAATCACTAAAGCAAGTAACAACGAACGCAATAAATCTTAAACGACCTTAGCAACACAGCTAATAAGCTTTTGATAAAAAACGCACAATCCCGAAAGTCAAACCACTGTTACTTGACTGAAAATCAAAAATAGTTTCAAAGAGGAATTTGATGTTTAAAGAGTATAATAATATCGTCGAAGAACAACAGCAATAGGAAAGGAAATAAGTTACACAAAACAGATGGAAGCAATGTGCAAATAGAGTTAGGATACAGTCAAAAGATGGTAGTGATCAATAGAGAACGCCGCTAATTCCTCCAAGTCCACACTCGGCGCACGCGTGAAAAGAAGCTGAACTGAAATGAAGTAGTAGCAGAGGCGAAACAAGAAAGATCGAAGTCGTAGAAATGGAGAATATGGAAGAGAAGAGAACACAACGTCTATTCTTGGTGTTCTGACACGACGTTACGAGCGAAAGCTGCAGCGGCATCCGATTTTGCTAGAAAAGCAAAAGAAATAATCAGCAATAGAAACAGAAATTCAATAAAAAGTGACATGTTTAGGCACATCATTTAAAATCGCGAAATCAGATGGCGATTAAGAAGCAAACTTAGTGCAAAACCTGTTTATGTGCTTATTCCCAGCTAAGTTTGAACTCGACTACAAAAACTCACGATTTTCGTCGGATGGCAATACTGATTTTAAAACTTCAAAATAAATAGCAAAACAAGCAATAGCACCATTACAAATGGGAAAATAAAGATCCACAAAGCATACCTTTGTCAACGAATCTGCCAACCTCATCTGCAGCCTTGTCAATATGATTCTCGTACTTCAAAATATAAGGGCGGATGAATCGATTGTAGAGCAAAATTGATCCGTTATATTTCCCGGGAATCATCAGATAGATTAAGAGAATACACTACATTTGAAAAAATTGAAGTTTAGATTACAGAGAAGACAAGCAATAAAAAAATGCGAATTAAAAATACCTTATCAAGAGCATATAAAGGAATCCAGTATAGAAAGATATCGGTAAAAGTTTCAATGAGACCAAAAGCCGCATATACAACCCAGTAAGTTAGCCATTTTGTATCATCTTCCTTGCATGTGGACTCAATAGCTTTGATACTAAAAGATTTAAAATGAAATGGGCGACTTACGAAGCATAGGCGGGATAAAGGAAACCGATAAAGTTGGCAAGCAGAGTAGCCCCCCATCCAACCATTAACCAAAGCACAATAAATGCGCAAGCGCCTAAACTTCTCGTCAGTGCAAATTAAGGTCAAATTTACCATAGATAATATATTCAGCTTTTACACCAGTCTTTTCTTGAACCTTATTAAGGCAGTCAGTGAGGGCGTTCTTTTCCTTTAACTTCTTGTTCAGATGATCCCGAGCCCTATTAACGTACTCCATGTCTCAAAGTTAAATGTGTGTAACAAACAGGGAAGCTAATGCTGACAAAATAAGAGGTTTAAACAAAGTTAATCAATGAGTCACTAAAATGAGGCATTATTATAGAACAACAAAATATTTAAGAAATAATTTTAAATTCAATAATATTTATTAGTTCTATGTCTAAATTAAATTATACTTCTTGAATTATTTTTAGTAGAATTTATGAGCTTTTTGATATTTCAGGTATTGTGATTTGTTACAGTGATAAATTAGGAAAAGAAATGCAAGTAAAAACCTCATCATTGAAACGCTTGCAAAAGCTAACCTTAATTGTTTAAACTGTGTTTGAGACATGGAAATATATTTGACTTATTATTCTGCAACAACGTATGATGTTCTAAGACTTATGTTGAAATCAATAATTCAGTGCTTTCCCATGCAATGGTCAAAAAATATATTTATACCTTAATCTGTGCAATAATGAGCGAAAAACTATTAGTAGTGTCTGTCACATCCACTGAATAGAAAAGCCATGCGGAATCAGCAAATCAATTTTTGGAGGAACGAAGGATGACCTATGTGACTGAAGATGTATGATTACGTACTACTTATGAATAGGTAGCTGGAATACAACAGTGTGGAAACCTGCCTTCAAGTCACTTCAAGTTTTGTTTAATTGCAAGAACAAATTAATTATTTACTTCATATTATAATTATGGCATCATAGATTGAACATTTGCATGTATCATTGTAAAATTTTGCATATGGAATAAACGAATAGTTGAAGCTTGACCGCTACAACGCGAGATTTCCTGCTTTTCATTACCAGATCTGAAATTATTAAAAATATTCCAGCTATCTCAAACAAATATATTGTTCACATTGTTCCATTCCATGCGTTTTCTTAATTCCTTCAATCTCAGTTTCATGGCATACCGCCCGCCACTGTTTCCGATGTTCTTGTTAGAACAATTTTCAAAATGAATAGTTAAATACAAAAGCGTGATTATTAAATAATACCCTCAGAAATAAGGTATAGAATTTTACGCGATACTTTAACTAAGTATTCGGTTCTTCAGATAATTCGATAACATTTTGAATTTCGTTTCCATTAAACGATTAACTTAGCTCTATCATAATATTAAGCAATGAGGAAAGACTCTAGAATGATTTCAATTTCCTCGCCTGGGTATACAGCATTCTTTTCCCATTAACCCAGATTTCCGTTTGTGAAAAATGGTAATGACACGAATTTTCGTAATTCTTTAAATTATAATTATTTTAAAATATTCTTAATGCGTTGCTGTTTTCTGTATTCCATGTGGTCATTTCTTAAAAATCTGCTATCGATGCTTTCATTATCGTAAATTAGATTTCGATAAGAATATCTGTTGTTGAATTTTCAAATCTATATGGTTGAAAAGTGTTATACTTGTGCTATTCTATGTAATGCCATTTATTTACGTTTTAGTTAGTCTGTTTGGTCGGTGCCAAACTCCAAGACCGGAGGTTTTCGTCCTTGAGCTCGCTCTCCGAGATTTTACTCAGTTATGAACGATTCTCTCAACTTACAAGCAGGTAGATAACGAATTAATATAGCAAACTTTTAGATGTCGCAAGAGCTATCGAGCTGTTAGATACGTTGCTCAAATGTCCTGATTTACAACCAGCAAAATTGGCATCTCTGCAAAGAATTCTGCAGTCTGATTTCTTTAATATGGTTCGAGAGGTTTATGAACATATTTATGACACGGTAGATGTTGGTGGATCGGAAGAAGTATGAATAGCATCTACTTATTATTGATTAACTTTAAGGTAAGAGCTAGTGCCACTGCTAAAGCAACGGTTGCCGCTTTTGCAGCCAGTGAAGGACATGCCCATCCTAGAGTTGTCGAACTTCCAAAAACCGACGAAGGGCTTGGTTTTAATGTAATGGGGGGTAAAGAACAGAATTCTCCAATCTACATTAGTCGTATTATCCCTGGTGGCGTAGCTCATCGTCAAGGTAAACTCAAACGCGGTGACCAGCTCCTCTCCGTTAATGGTGTTTCTGTGGAGAACGAAAATCATGAAAAGGCAGTTGAACTACTGAAATCTGCCCAAGGTTTCGTTCATAGTTCATTTATTCTTAGAGTAATTTTTTGCCTCGGTGCATTTT